CCAGTGCAGGGTGTACCTGATCCCAGAATATATGGCCCCAGTAGCACTCCTCCTGACTCCCATTAGCGAGGCCTCCAGGGCTAAGCCCATGGTTGATGAATCCTTTGGTGCCGGGCTGGGGAAGCTCACTGAGCAGGTAGTAGAGAGAACCACGAAGGGCTTGGCGCAGGGCCAAGGGCCCAGTCACATCCAGGCCACAGCCTGCCCAGAGCTGGACCCAAGTGTCTGCATGGACTGTATACAGATCACCCCTGGTTTGCAGCTGCAGGGCCTCAGCAAAGCAGCCCTGGGCCTCAGACTGGCTGCCACCAACCACAGTCAGAAAGTCCCAGGTCCTGTCCTGTTCGTCTTCCCCAAGTGTCAAGGCTGGGGGCACTGGTATCCACAACATGTGTACTTCCTGCTGTGGCTCTCCTGGCTGCTCAGGGGTGAGTGTGTGCCCATGTAGGTACCTGCAAGAACATAATGGAGTCATAGGGAAAGACTCCCTCTGAGCTACCTAGATTTACCCAGTGTGCTCCTTACCGGGCTCCCTGGAAGTCAGGCCCTACTTGCAGGCCCAAGTCTGGGCTTTCTGGGGAGAAGGATGACGGTAGCAACACTGTGATGGGCTTGTTGCCTGTAGTCAAGCGTTCAATGGACACGCTGAAGGCCAGGACATGGGGTAACACACGGTGAGCATAGATGCATTGGGAAGCCCGGAAGCCAGCGCCTTCCAGGGTGTGCAGGAAGGAACCTAGGGAGGGTTGGGAGTCTCAGTCACCCTGGGGAATGTCAGATGGTCTCAAAGCTGTGGGCTTCCAACATTATGGAGTACCACGGCCTTCATGGGCTGGAGTGGGGTCCTCAGACTCAAGTCGCTTCTCCCTACTGTACAGTGGGCCCACCCAGATGAAAGGAAAGCAAGACAAACCACAGAGGCCTCATCTTGGGAGGCAGCCTTTTATGCTTATTTTTTTCTTTCTTAAATTAAAGGACTTTTGTTTACTTATTTTTGAGATGCATCTTGTTATGTATCTGAGGCTGTCCTACAATTCTCCATCTTCCTGCCCCAAGAGCCCCAGTGCTGAGATTACAGGCCTCAGCAGTCATAGACTGGCTTTTGCTATCCCTTTCCCTTGTGAGACTTCATGGACAAGTGAGGAGGTCTCTGTCATCCAAAGCGACAGCTTGACCAGGACTGGTGTCAACTAACCTGTGTTAGTATCCAGGGTAAAGGTCTCAGTCAGTGGTTTTGTTCCTGCAGGCGCCTCCAGCTGGACATTGAGGGGGCTGGGCAGAATTGCCCGGTGAGTGTGCCCTCCAGCTCCATTGTACACACCGTTTACGTGTATGGTGTCATGATATACACGTGTACCCAGGTACGAGTTGGTTACTGTGGCCCAGAACCTGGGGTCACTGGGCATACAGTGCGTACTAAATATGGTCGGGTCATCTTCAGAATTGTCCATGGAAAGCTGTCTCAGTCCCGGTGGCCTGGAGAAGGAGAGTTGACACTGACTAACTGGATTTCCCTCTGCAGACTGACAGTAAACCCTAAGAAACTTGGACGATCCCCATAGACGGTGAGGGGAGTGTGGGGCTAGCTTAGGGTAGCAGCACTTATAAAAGCCTCCACACCCTTAACTCAAGAGGACCACCAGGAACTCTACTGAATCTGCAAAACAGCTCCCTCGGCAGACGCAACAGGTTTCCCACTACAGAGGTCCGCGCTGGCTCTAAACCCCCAGGGAGCCTGAGGATTGAAAGTGGAGGCCGAGGAACCGGGAGCTGTGGTGGGAGATAGCGAGGGAAGGGGTTGGGGTGGGAGAGGAGGAACCGGATGTGGTGGAGGACAGTGACGGGAGTGGTGATGGCGGGGGGCTGGGGAGTGTAACTGAGGAGGAGCCAACTTGGTTGGGAGATGGAAAGAGGAAGGCAGTGTGTGGGCGAGGGAGGGGCCGGAGAGGAGGTTAGCGGGTTGACGGACAGCCTGGGAGACAAGGGAGTGAAGGGACGAAAGAGAACTTCGAGTATTTGATGGAAGAGGGTGAGGGCCGGTTGGGGAGAGGGGACGGGGACGGGGACGGGGACGGGCAGTTTTGGCGACTCACCGCAGCCCAGCTCCAGACTGTGCGGGCCCCGCTATAAGTGGACTCTGTTGGCTCGGTGCGAGCCGCCCCTGGCGGGAGGAAGAAGAAGCGGCC